AGGTCCGACAGTGATTGACTTCGTCAAGCCTTTTGCATTTATCAATGTTTTCCTGCCTGCCGGCTCCTTCATGCCTGCATATGCCATGACATGTTTTCGCCAGCAGCAGATTTCGAGATCAGCTCAGCTACGGCTTCGCTGAGGGCTCCTGCAGTGTGCCACACGATGTATGAGCCGAATCTTACTTGAATCTCTCGATTGGTGCTCACAGGAAAAGAGGGTCATGCGAGAGCTCTGTCTTCAGATGCAATGCGAACTTCGTGGCAGGAATTAGGGTTTTGGGTTTAGGGTTTTGGGGCATCAGCGATCTCAGGGTTGAGGCTTTAGGGTTTGTTGTTTTTTCGGATTAGGGTTTAGGGTTGTTGGTTGTTGGGCATTAGCGATCTGAGGGTTTATGGGGCGTTGGGCCTTTAGGGTTTTGGGGTTTAGGGTTTTGGGGCATCAGCGATCTGAGGGTTTTGGGGTTGAGGGTTTAGAGTTGGGTTTTCCCTTGGGGATTAAGGTTCAATTTTGGGGTCAGGGTTTTTGTGCATTAGCAATCTGAGGGTTTAGGGTTGGATTAGGGCTTTAAGGTTTAGGGTTTAGGAGTTTAGGGTTTGGGGGTTTGGGTTTGGGTCTCGGGGTTTGGGGTTTTTGGGTTTAGGGTTTAAGGTCGTTGGGCATAAGCGATCTCAGGGTTTATTAGGGTTTGGGGGTGAGGGTTTCAGGTTGGCAGCTGGGTTTTTCTTGGATTAGGGGTTTGTGGTTCGGGTTTGGGGTGTCGGGTTTAGGGTTTGGGGTCTAGGTTTTAGGGTTTAGGTTAATGTTTTAGGGTTTACGGTTGGATTAGGATCTTAATGTAGGGTTTATAGAAATTGTAGATGGTTTGGGTCCGGAGTTTTGAGCGAAACGTTTTGAGCGAAGGTTCTGGCGGGCGCGTTTTGATTGCTGTTGATTTTGCAGTTGCGCTGGGCTGGTCTGGCGGGCTGTGCTGAAGATGCAGTTCGAAGCGAAATTCACAAAATTTCAATTTATCATGTTCTTGGGGTTTTAGTTCTAGGGTTTGTGTTTAGGGTTTGGGTTTGGGGCTCAGGATTCAGGGTTTTGGGGCAATAGCGATTTCAGGGTTTGGGGTATGCATAGGGTTTAGGCTTAAGGGTTTAGGGTTTCGGGAAATGCCCCAGCGTTTCGGGTTTAGGGCAGGGTTTGGGGTTGGGGTTTGGGGTTTTGGGTTGAGTTTGGGATTGAGGGCAATACTCAACAGCCTGAAGACTCTCAAAGGTGACACCAGTGCTGACAGCAGTAAGCCAAAGGTGAAGGAGGCAGAAGATATCAACTTGTCTGAATTCCGAAAGCCTGAGACATATCGCTCTTGGAAGACTCCTATGAGGGAAGCAGTGCGGGCAGTCTCAGATTCCCCGGACGAAGCGTTCCAATGGATCCTCGAGGTTTACAGCAAGGACGCAAGTCACGCGGTTTGAGAGATCCGTGCAAATTTCTTGCTCTCGACACAAAGTTGCTAGCCTCGCTCACCAGGGTTGCCAAGGGTGAACTGGCACGGGAGATTCTCATCTGTAAAGAGACTGAAGCCTCCCACAGCAGGGCAAATCGGGGAAGACAGATTTTTTTGTATGTCTTCGATCAATACTTCAAAAAGGAGGTAGGACCCCTTTATTCTGGTGGAGGACTTGCTTAAGGTGAGGCTCCTTGCAGATGACTTGAGCACCTTCATGAATAACTGTGAGAGTGTGAGGTCTCGTTTGAGCCACATGCCTGATGAGACAACCCTGAGAGACATGTTCTTGAGAGAGCTCAGGCAATCAAAGAGGCTCAAGTACGACCTCGAGATCTTTGATAGGGCAAGAGAGGGTAGTGAACAGCATATCTACAAGTTTCTGAAGAACTCCTGACTCGAGAAAGAACGAGGAATAGCAGAGACCAAGTATGGTACGCTGCATCCCCGCACTCCACCAGCCCCGCTGGGCGAGCTGGCCGAGGAAGATCGCAAAGCCCTAAGGTTCTGGACCCGTCACCAGGACGAAGCAAGTCACCAACTCCCAACAAGTCGCGACATGGATGTGCTGGAGGCCAAGAATCTGATGAACCGGTTTGCCTGCAGAAAGCTTTGCGGGAGCCAGTGATGTCACGATGGATCACACTGGTGAGGCACTCAATGACACCGCTGTGAGCGACTTTCTCCCTGAGGAGGAGCAAATGCTCCGGGGGATTGGTGACGTCGACTACAGGCCCGAGAACCCGGTGTATGCTCGCGACGACGACCGCTGGCCCTTCCTGCCCCGGTTAAGGGTGGCCACCGGCGAGCGTGGCCTAACTGTGGCACCAAGCACCTCATCGACCAAATGCTGTGCCTGGGATGCGGAGGGACCATCATCAAGGCGTCTTCTCAGAGCCAGCGCAACAAAATGGAGACGACTCGGTGGTTCGCGGAAGCATCAGCGGCCGCTGCTAGCGGGAAACCGAAATCCCAGCTGAGTGTGGAGGAAGTCCTCGAAAACTTGACAAGGGATTAGGGAACCCGTTGTCTCCAGAGCCTTGATAGCGCGGCACTCGAGAAGGCGAAGCAGATGCTGAAGCTCGCCCAGAAGCAAGGCTATGACAGCATTGTTGCTCGCTTCGACAATGATGTCGAGCACACTGTCCACGCGTGGCCAACGGCTATGACAGGGAATTTCTCGGCCTGGAAGACATCCTGGTGAAAGGCAGGCTGCCAAATGTTGGTCGCACAAAGGACTCCCAGCGGTCGCTAAGCACCGGCACCCGCGGATCCGGCGGATGGAACAGGCCTGAGAGAAATGAATAAGTCCATCGCAAGGTTGCTCTACATTCATGATTGCAATCCAGCCGCCCTTCGGGCAGGCCTGCTCAGGATTGTGAGCGATGATCCTTTCGTCGTAATGTGGCTGGGAGTTGCGTAAAGCGTCGCTGATTTCGTTGAGGTTTTCTCCAGCACAAAATCGTGGATCGCATCCTCACGTTCACTGAGACCGTGTACGTTGACCCCAACCTCGGTTACACATCCGCTGAGTGCGCAGGCTGGTTTCGTCACAAGTTCCATCAGCAGTTCAGCCTGCTTTCCGGGCACACCAAGAAAAGCAGCGAAACGCTGATCTCGCTCGTGCTGCACAGGCCAAGGCGGATGCAAAGCGCGAAGCTTATGGCTATGGAAACGGCTCACATCCTTATTCCGGGTTAAGCTGCCGCTACTACGGGTGAGGTCAACTCAATTCATCGTTTTTCGGCACGTTGCTAGGTACTCCGAATTACAGCCCCTTCTACCTACAGCCCAGAAAGATCTGGAACCGATTTCGCTACAGAGCAGCAACTCCGATTGCTTCGCACGGTGGATGGAGTAACCGGCCCGCGAGGAACACTTTTGCGTCGCTACTTGTATAGCTGCATTGATTCCGCGACTTTGAAACAACCCCAAACCCAAAATAATTCGCTTGTGACTGTATCTTTTGCTTAGTAGTTGCAGTGAACCTTTGAGCCAAGCGCAGTCCGCCGCCTTTATGGCAGGCCGCACAACGACGCTTCGTGTACGTTTGCACTCTGACGCTTCGGCGAGGGGGGTGTAATTTGTGCACGTGTCAGTTGCATCGTTTGCGGAGTGTACTGCTGCATTAGTGCTGTGATGGGGAAAAAGTGTAGATTGTAGATTGTAAAGCCATGATTTAATCCTCATGAACACTTGAACGGATATTGTACTATTTGTGCGTATGAGCAGTGGTTTCCCCAGACTACATCCGTAAACATTTAATCGCTGTATGCACGGTTCATGAAGGGCTGCAGCCTAGGGATACGTAGTGCGAGTATTTGGGGCTGCGGCTAAGGGCGACGATCTGGACCATTTCAGCCCGTATGAGTGCACAGATGGTCACAGGCCAGTCGGCCGGCTGCAAGCTTTTCTTACAGTGTTCATTCTTGGGTTTGTGTTGCTTGCAAGGATGTCTCAGGAGGTCGTTGCGTCGGCTGCCAGGACGGGCAGGAAAAAATCGCAGACATGTCCTCGTGGTCTAAGTGTGTGAATTTGGCGGCATATTTTTCTTCGACTATACATCAATCAGGGTTGTGAACGCAACGTGAAAGGCTCCTTCTGCATTGCCCGTGCCGCGGAGGAGTCGACAAACGGATCCGTGGGTCGGGAGCCTGGGTCGTCAAATTTGCAGACAGTGTTCGGCTTTTGGCATGATATGTGCTGATTCCACCAGATACCATGCACGTGAGAGGATGTTGCATTCCCGGAGTTTTGCTTCGCAAGCGCCGGAACGATTTTTCGCCTGACGATGCCTTCACAATAACAAGGTTGTGCGCTAGCCGCTAGAGCGAAGCGTTTTCTCTCTTTCATGCGACATTGTAAACTTCATCGACACGACAGATCACAACAGATCCATCAATGAAAACGGATAATGCGCTTGCATCGGTTGATAGCGACAGGTCAAGCCCTTCCGGGATTCCCGCGGGCGGCTATCTTTGTCCTCAAACTCTGCTCACAGTCCGACACATGTCATGCCACAGAGAAGCCCCATCTTAGGGCTACTGAGAGCCTTGAAAAGTACGGGGCTTTCTGTGGAAAGGTTTGGGCAGCTCCCCGGCCGGTTGCCTCGCGCACGCATAGAATCCTACCTGTTTGGTTTTGTGTTTGCATGTCTCCTTCGGGCTGCACTGGCTGTGCAAGCTCAGCTTCGGAAAGAATTTTTCTGCCACGGTCTGCAGCCAAGTCCAAAGTTGTTGCAGTCTTCCAAAGATGATGGTGGAATGCAAGCATTTCTGCAATAAAAACAACTCGCGTGCTGGCTTTGCGAGGCCTCAGGCTCGCAGCTGCTCTTGCTCCATGACTTCGATCCTTCCAGCTCCGTGTCTTGCCAGCAGGGTGGCCACGGTTCAATTTGCTACGGTTTGCAATGAGCGAAACCTTTGATCCTGCAGCATGGTTTGAAATCACGACTGCTGCGCCTCAAAGTGCTTCCCCCGTCGCTGTTCGCCGAGACCAGCTTGACCGAAAGTTCGGACAGCCACCACCCGAATGGCAAGAAGGCCAACCTTCGGAACCGAGAGTGCAGACCATACGCAGGCTTTTGGCATTTCCTAGCATTCAGATGCGCGAAGGACGCGCGCATGATGCCAGTTGCATGGGCCAAGGCGGGATCAATAAAATTCGCCACAGCAGCATCCGCTCGCATGTCATTGCCGTGTGTCTTACCGTCCAACCAGGAGGATGTCAAAAAGTATTATGCGCAGCTCAAAGAAGTGGCAAAGCAGACTTCTCCCACCAACAGGAGCTGCTCTCGCAAACGCATGCAAACGCATGGCAAGGGTATTGTTTTTGGGCGAAGTCTAATGTGGCACGGATCCACTTGGTGCAGTTCTTCATGATCTCCGGAAGCAGATTGCTGTGCGACTGGGTAGCGAGTGACGTGGATCGGTTGTTGTGTGCCGCATGAAAAAGCCGTTCTATCCATTTTGTAACTGGCTCACCTTTGCAGCTCTTTCGTTTTGTGGTTACATGGGCTACTAGAAGAAGAGGCATCCTGCATCTAAGTTTCGGGTGTTCTGTCAGGACTGCTTGGGATGCTGATATTCAAAAAGTGGAGGAGTTGGTCGAGCTCTCGAAAACAAGGCTGGCGCATGCTGGCGCCCAGCACGTTCGATGCCAGCTTGGTCAGGACCTGGACTCCGAAGCCGAAGATGAGGCTGACGATGCAGACGTCGCAGTCACGGGCAAAGGCAGGTGTGCCATGGATGCACGGCGTGAGGCCCTCGTAAGGCAAAGCGCGTGTGTGCAGGCGAATCTGAGAGCCACGCGCTAGGCACGTGCAGGCTCCTGCCTCGGCAGATTTTGGCCTCTGACTCTATGCGTTCTGTGAAGCGCAGTGCGCTGTAGGCCTTGCCATTATGTGTGCACCTCAGCCGCTGTCAGCCGGCCGTAAGTCCAGGGACGGATCCCTGCAGGTCTATGCGAAAAGTGGGTGTACAAACGGTGCTGCGCCATTTCCCCAGATGACCGGGCCCTTTAGGGAGAGTCTTTGCATGCTCGGCTGCATGGACCCTGCGTCGGCCCTCGTCGCCTGAAAGTCTGGCGTTTTTCAGGCGTAGGGCGTCGGCGAAGGGGGTACACGTTGCGCAACGAAAGGCCCTTAGCAAGCCTGCCCCCGTGGTGCTCCAGCTTCACGCTTGTCCGCTTCGCCTCACGAACCACGGGATCGGGATTGTCGATTCTTGAAGCTGGGTTAACTCGTCGAGACTCGCGAGACCACGGCGGCGCTTGCACGATTGGAAGGTCATGGGAGCCGCACATGTTGGTGGATGCTGCTGGGGTTCCGTTGCGGCCGAGGTGTGCTTTCTGCCATCTGCCACATCCGAAAAAGTTCAGGCCAAGACCCTGCAAGCTGGAATCCCAGCTATGCAAGTGCAACCATTTGGGCCGTCTGTGCGGAGATTTGGGATAGGTCTAAGCGGTCCAAGTGCAAACGTCTAGCGGCGGTTCTGGACAAGGCTCGTAGTTTTGGTTGTGCATGCCCCTAATGGGTGCCTGACGAATTTCAGCAAGGTGTTCGATGGCGACCCTGATTATTTTCAATCCATGGTGGAAGAACTTAGCGCCCAAGGCAGGACGATGTGATCACATGGGACTCTGGAGACACATGGACTTGTGGCTCCCCTCTCAGGCGGATACCTGAACACGGTTGTCAAGAGCAAGGTGAAGAGCCTCCAAGACAAGACTCAGGCCGGCGTATGCTTGCGTCGCGTGGGATACGTCTTTGCAAGTACGCGATCTTGCAGGATCCGGGACTCCAGCAAGTCCCGCGAGTTCTGAAACCAGGTCTCGTGTCTCTCTGAAGTAGCTCGAGCTGGCTGCAGCTCACCCTCGTAGACTCGTAGAGTCCTCGAACGAGGGCATTGGAAACACTGGATGCGTGGTCCTTATGGAATTGTCGATTGGCTTAGATACGCACAGAGCACAGGTCCGCACTGTAGCGAAGGCTCGCCGTACTTCAGTATGACCACGGAGAATGAATCTTCTGAACAGAGCTCCTCCTGCATCTCTGGTCCCTGCTTTGCACTCAGCTCGACTGGCTCGACTGGTCACCAGCAGAGGGCCGACCTTTTCAATGCTTTGGCGGCTGCGATGATCCGGCCGCCTCCAGAGCGCTTGAAAAGGCTCCTTTATTATTATTTGCAGCAAGCTGCAGCTGCCTGAGGCACCTGCGGGGTCAGCTGTGGAACACGGAGAAAAGAGTTGGACAACTTGGAGAGGTGCAGAGGCAGAAAGAGGCATCACATGTACCGTTGACGCTCATTGATGTCTTGGCCAAGAAGTTAACTTCGGACAGTTGATTAGGTTAAGCCTGGATAGAAGGAATATGACATACAAATCAGATGGCAAACTGTGTGTTTGCCTTGTTCCAGTTAGCATCGTAGGGTACTGTACAACCGCACATCCCCAAGAAAAAACCTTCTAAATTGAGATGACCGATAAGCCCGAAACCTTACTCTCGACAGAGGGCATGCCCGCAATCCTGAGCCTTTCTTCGAGTCCAGAAGCCGCAAAAATGCAAGCACCTGGAACCGTTCGTCTGTTCACTACCCTATGCTACCGGCAGTCCCTCAAGACAGCAGCAATCTTCCATCAAGTGACATCGACAGCAGCGACAGCAGCGATAGACCCTCAGATAGCCCGTCCATGAAGTCAGTGTTGCTGCTGTTCTTGCTGCCAGTGATTCTCTCAAGAGACGCATCTCGATCTTTCATCCCGTCATGTCCATGTCATCAGTATTGGTGCACGGCCTATAGTGCCCTCAGCTTGCCAAAGTCGTAGCCTTGTCCAGAAGATTCTTGCACATGAGCGTGGATCACGTGCATGTGCATCTGCAACTCTCTATTTCTCACCGTGTCGTTGCATCGGCTTGCGATGTCGTGGTTCCGCATGCCAGAGGCATCTCTTAAAGAATGAATTGACAGCTTCGTTTCATGCAGTGTCAGCCACAAGTTATGCTTGTCGTCTTCTGAGAGGCTGGAGGCGGACCCGACGCATCCTCGAGCTCCAACCGCTTCGGGAGGGTTTTGTCGGACCTTGTCCTCGGCCAAGCGTTGACATGTTTTCTGTCGCCTGTGAACATGTCACCGCAGCTGTCAGCTTCGCTTGAGGCAAGTGCAGGGCGCGAGGTTCGACGAGTCGCCCAAGAGACGCGAGTCGTTCTGCTTGCAATGTGGTCGGCAGTGCATGTGTGCACGATCTGCATATCGTGCACAAGTTGTACCAGCTTAGGATGCGATGGTTCTTCTCCGTCACACAGCCAAGCACGGCGAACAGGTACGACATGAAGGGACTGAATAGTAACAGAACTTTGTCAACACTAGCTAGCCACGGCGACTACGGCAGTTTCAGCCTCCTGCCGCAGGCTAGTGCTGGCTACTTCACGGAGGTCCTCTCAGATGGATCAACTGTGCAGGTTGAAGTGATCGCAGCTGCGGATTTGTCAATGGGCTCCAAGTCGCTTCCAGTGCCCTACTGTGCACTCGCAACCGGATATCGAGGCCAACCTTGGGCAGCAAAAGCTTCCGGAAAACCGGAGTGCAATACGCCCCCTGCACTTCGCCAAAGGCATCCTCGTTGGAACGCGCTTTGCAAGCTGCAGCTGCCCAAAGCGTATGTGTCACCTTCTCGTGTGGAGTTTTGCAAAGACGACTCTGCACCCCAAGAGATAGAGCTCTCCGTTCGAGTCATGGATGCAGGTGGCTTGAGGGGTGACAGAATGGCCGGAGAAGCACGTATTCCTCTGAGCCAAGCGCGTGGCGCGGGGACGTTCCGGCTTTTGGGTGGGGGCTACGCCAGCCTCTCCGTCCGCTGGTCCGAGGTCCGTGGTTTCGGGGCCGCGCAGGAGCCGTCAGAGCCCTCCGACTTTGCGGAGTTCGAAGAGGCGATGTGCTTTTGGTCCAGGCAGGACTTGGCGACTCCGGCGGGAGTTCAAAGGGCCCAGAGAGAGCTCCAGACAAAGCTAGCGGCCGCGGACCGGAACCTCGTGAATGAGCTGCTCCTGCAGACGCCTCTGTGCCACGACAGCAGCAGGTATGACTCTTTGTTCCCCAAGCAGTGTGGTACACACTATGGGCCTCCAACGTTCAGGGTGCAGAATTGGTTAATTTAAGATAGCTGCGCGGCGCACCAGACATTTTGCTCGGAACGCGACCACCTCCTTACAGACTGGAGGTCTTTGGTCCTGTCTGACGACGAGGCATCTTCCTTCTCAGGCCGGGCCGGGTGGCTTGTGTCTACTCTTTGAAGCTTAGCTTCAAGAATTGTCCGTGCCATGGCGACTTAGACTTGTGACTTGTGGAAGGCAGCCAATCACTACTCCGTGTTCTCTCTGAGCATCTCCAGTCGCAAAGCCTCTCGCCGTTGGCCAGCAGCCGTCTGATAGGCCGCCGATGTCACATGCGGTCACGTTTGCATTCAGCGAGGGTTGAGCGAGCTCAGCAGGCAGCGGGTATCCATGTTGTCAGGTGCTCTGGTGGAGAAGCTCTCGGTGCCTCGTTACTCGGCTTAATCGGTCGAGAGCCGAAGGAGAGCAGCGATGCGCCTCGTCGCCAAGTGGCGCTGCCAGAGGCTCCGGTATCGGTCCCAGCCAGGAGGTCTCGGATCTCGAGTTCGCAGAGCAGCTCGCGGTGCAAGAGGCCGACCTTGAATCTCTCTGGGAGCGCTCTGATCTCGCGCTCCGCGAGGCGGTCCTGTGCAAACTCATCCTCCGCAGCGAAAGCAAGGACGGGGCAGGGCCGGGCACGGCCGGGCAGGGCGAGAGCGGGCCGAGAGCAGGGCAGGGCGCCCGGGCCCGCAGCTTAGGAGCTCCTGGAGCTGAAACGCCTAGGCCAGGCCCTCAAGGGCGGCGAGCGGTCCCAATCGGTCCTACAGATCCTTTTGTGTCTTTTTTTACCAGTCGATGCTGCTGGTGGCGGTCGCGATCTCCGTCACCTCATCTACTCGGTCATTTCTGATCAGGTGCTACAGTCTCCCATCTCCCACGACTTCTGTTTACATTTGTAGATTTTGCAGGTCAGACGAGAGTCGTTGCTTCAGCACTTTGTGGACCAAGCTGGGGAGCTGCAGCCGCATCAGCTGCCGGTGCACATTCTGTCTGACATTGACATGACGGTCTGGGTTGGGACCTTCGGAGCAGGCCCGACTGTGCGATCCGCGCGCACCGACTCTGCACAACTTGTCGCAGGTGGACCGAAGTTTCCGGCGGGTCCCGTCCCTGGCGCCCTTCCGCTCTTCACCGCTTTGGGTGGCCGCGTGACGTTCCTCTCTGCAAGACCACCGATTTGGGAGGGCCAGACCAGGCGGAGAGATCGGAGAGCTTTGCCGCTTTGCCTTTGCGAGGCTCTGTGATGCTTTCAGTCTTTTCTCAGGCGGCTTCTGGTCGATGACATTGGCATCGCAGAGGCGGTTGTGTTGCCCGGATCTTTGAAGGCCGTCGCCCAGGTTCTCTTCGCGCCGGAACAAGCTCGACAAGCGATGGCAGAGCGCAAGACGGAGGTTTTCGGGCAATTCGCAACTTTACATCCGGAAGCTCGCTTTGTCTTCATCGGGGACAGTGGTGAAGGGGACGTGGACTTTGCGGAGGAGTTTATGGGCCAGGCTGGTGGACCTGCGCGGCGAGCAGCGCTGATTCACGACGTGGTTAGGCCCGAAGCTAAGAGGATCAAAGCCTCCAGCTTTCGGTTTCCTCTTCTTTTTGCAGGTCCGATGGTGTGGTGCCGAAGAGCTCCCAGCAGCGCCGGGCGGACCTCCGAATGCGCGGCATTCGCGTCTTCGACACATACGCAGGTGCAGAGACCGTGGCTTCTTCAAGGGCCTCGCAGAGACTCTTCTCAGGTGCTGCCCTGGAGCTGTTTCAGCAAGGGCTGCTCGACATGGAGGCCTGGCCGCCTATAGCCTGGTGAGCTATGTGAGCTGAGTGGTGTCGTTCTACTCCCTTGTGTTGCGCTGCCAGGGTCTTCGCTGTGCCACCCATGGATGCCTGGAGGAGTTTGCCGAGATCAATCCAGATGAGTTCGCTTCTGTTGAGGAACGTGTTGCGGTAACAAGTCTCAATGCCAGTACCTAGTGTCTAGTTACATGCAGAAGAATCATCATATTTCATAGCCGAAACTTTTGGAATCCCTCCCAGCAGAAGCCCCATTGCAGGTGTTTGAGATGCGTCGCATGGAGCTGCTGCGCGACGTTCGAGAGGTGAATGCTGCCTTACGTGCAGCCGATGAAGGGGTGCAAGGAGCGGACGTGAAAGTCAGGGTCCCACGTCTTCTCCTGTTCCCAAGTTTCAGAAACGTGTCAGAATCGCTCAGCAGAAGCCCACCAAACTTAAGCACGATCAACACACCCGAAAGACCCGGTGACCAGAAGAAATCCAGTGCTCGTAGGTTTGATAGAAGCAAAAAAAACTGCAAGCAGCCATCGCAAGCCCGAAGCCGAAACAGCCGAACTCAGCTTGGATTTCCCGAGCCTGGCAGGAGGCGCTTTCGTGCCCGCGGAGCGACTCGAACAATTTGGAAAAGTGCCTTTGCACCTGGGCGCACAAGCTGAAGACGGCCTTTGTGGAAACTCAGGCCTTCCCAGCGGCGCACGGCAGGGAGCCCAGCGCTGCCACATGGCGCAGCCTCGTTGCTGTAAAGCCTCGTTGCACAAGGCGCTGGACACGTTGGACACTTTCACTGCCAGTCCAAAAAGTCCAACGGGTCCAACGGTCGAGGCCGAGGCCGCGACTGGAGCCATACGCAGCCATACGCAGCCACGCTCCTCCTTGTGCTTTGCATCTTGCACCCTTTGAGGCTGCGCGAGCCGG